TGGAGAATGTATTCTGGCCAAATGGAATGTGTCTCAATAATACATATAACAAATTAATTAAAAATTGAAATAATTCACTATATTCTCAGAATGCAAAAGAATATCCTCAACAATCATGGGGAGAAATGTAACAAAATTCTACATTCGTTTCTGAAAAGATAGCTCAGTAACTTAAGATGAAATGGAAAATTCTTCACCTTGATCAATGTATAAAAATAGCCACAAAAAAGCAAAGCAAAATAAAATATACCCTGCAACTTATACCTGATGAAATACTGTTTTGCTCTAAAATCAGGAACAAGACAACACTACCTAGTCCACTGGAGTCCACTAGAGAGTCTAACTGGTATATTAGGGCAAAACTCAGAAATAAAAGGCTTATAAGAAAAACAAATTATTATAGAGTCACTGTTCACAGATGACTTCAGTATCTGTGTGAATTCCTCAGTACTGAGGAATTAACAACAATACAATATTAATGAGTTAACTCAGCAAGATTGCATGATACAAAGTCATTGGATCTAAAATACCAGACAAAAGACGTGTTCTAAAGTGGAGCTTCTGTGTGGTGACTGGCTTGGGCTCTCACATCGTTAGTGCATTGATTGATTGATTGATTACAATCCGATGACACTACCAGGAGGCAATAAAAACCTAGGGGGGAATCTAGTTGAAGACAGCGGGTCACAGGGATGACCTGGGGGCCACACCTTGTCCCAGCCCCTCCTCTCTGACTCTGTCTCAGCTCCCTTGATGCCAGGAGGTGAGCACCTTCCCGGACCACACCCTCTGACAGGATGTTCCTGCCTTGCCACAGATCCAAAGCCCTGGAGGCAGCTGACTCTGGAATGAAGCCTCTGAAACAAGGAGCCAGAATAAACACTGCTCCTTGAGGTCACTTTCTCAGGTATTCTGTCACAGAAACAACAAGGTGACCAAAGCACAGGTCAGTACTTACAAGTCAATTGCACCTTTCTAGAGTAGTAACAATATTTGAAAAATGCAACTTATAAAACAATACCACTTTTACAAGATCACCAAAAAAATCTAGAATAAAAATTTTAAAAGATTACAAATTCTCTATACTGAAAACTATAAAACAATGCTACAAGAAAGTAAGATCTGAAGATATATCCTATTCTTGAATTGGAAGATCCAAATTGGTAGGATTTCCTTTCCCTCTAAATTGTTATATTGAGAACAAATCCCAATTATTATCTCAATAAAACTGTTACATTAATTGAAAAACTGATTCTAAACATCATATGGGAATGCACAGGACCTAAAACAGCCAAAGTGATCTTGAAAAGAGAACAAAGGTGGAGGACTAATATTGCCTGTTTTCAAAACTCACTATAAAATTCTATTAATTAGGTCAACGTACTATTAGAACACAGATAAACATATAGATGAACAGAATAAAACAGATTCCCCAAAACACCCATTCAATTACTTTTTTGGGAAGGGGAGGGTACCAGGGATCGAACTCAGGTCCTTGTGCTTGCAAGTCAGGTGGCAGAACCACTGTGCTAAATCCCTGGCCCCATTCAATTACTTTTTGACAAAGGCATTGATTTAATTTAATGTGGAGTGGGGTGAGGTGTATTTTCAATAATTGGTGCTATAAAAACTGTATTTGAACCTGGAGAAAAAAATAAACCTTGACCTTACCAGACACAGAGATAGATAGATAGATAGATAGATAGATAGAGTAATTAAAAATTTATCACAGATCTATTTCTAAAAGCTAAAGCTATTAATTCTGGGAAAAACACTAGAGAAAATATTAACCACCTTGGCAGTATGCGAACATTTCTCAGCACACAACATTACACTAAGTATAAAAGAAAGAAAAACTGGACAAATGTATTTGATGAACAACTGCATCAATAATATGGAAATAATTCTTAATAAGATAAAGATTAAAATTTAAAAATTGGTAAAAGATCTACAATCTAAGATATATGAATGGCAAACTCTCCTGCAAAAATGCTCAAAACACTGATCAGGAAAATGCCAGCCCAAACTGTAATGAGATAACCATCCCATACCCATTAGATGGAAAAGAACCCCATTTAAAATTGAAGATAATTTCTTGTAAGCATTTAAAAAATGCATAGGGCCGGGGATTTAGCTCAGTGGTTCGGTGGCCTGCCTTGCAAGTACAAGGACCCGAGTTCAATCCCTGGTACCAAAAATAAATAAATAAATAAAAATAAAATAAAATAAATAAAAAATGCATAAAATTCTTATATCACAGTGAGTCACAATTAATAGATAAATAATAATGGTAATTATACAAAGGTGCCTCGGTTCACAAACTTAATTCCTTGCACAATTCTGGTCACAAACCAAACTGGAGAGAACTGAATCAAATTTCCCCATTAGGCGAACACTGAACCTAACCATTAAATTTAATTCTCATCCATTTCAGTTTGTGACCAGAATGGTGAAAAGAATCAAGTTTGTGAACTAAGGTACCAGTATGATTTATGAGAGTCCATTTTCTACCTTCTGAAACATCCTGTGGATAGGTTGCCCAATCAAAATTAACTTCTTGATGATTTTCCAGCCTCTGACAAAGAAGAGAAAGCATCAACTCCCAAGCGTGGAATTCCACCTGAGACCCTCTCCTGCCTTTCCATGCTTGCTGAATATTTTCCTTACTCGCCTTTACCAATAGTACTAGTTTGTTTGTATATGTACTTCTATTTTTCTTATATCCTCTTTGCCCATGGGCCTGAGGAACAGAAACTTGAAAAATGGTGATAAGTCTATTATAAATTTCATAAACCTAAAAGAATAATTGAACCTGATTAATGTTTAGGACTATTTCCAGTGCTGCCTTATACCAGCTTAACTGAAACACTTGTTAACCTCTAATTACTGGAGAAAAGGTACACAGCATAAACTTCACACAAAACTGCATTTCATCTAAAAACCAAACTTAGATGTCTGGTGGTCCAGCAACCACAGGCCAACTGAATGAGGCAACAGAAGACAACACAAGGGGTAAAGGACGTGAAGGACATTTCCCTGTTTGTTTAAATCCCTTTGTTTCAGAAGTCCTTCGGCATCATTCCTTCACTGTCTGTATTCTGAACGGTATCACGGCTTCCCGCATCTGTGAAGAATCATGAGTTTCACACAGAAATGTGTGTCCTGAATTTGTCTGTGCCTACGAATGTGGCTCCATTATGAACGGTCGCCAGCTGCCAACCTCAGTATTATCACCATGAGGGCACCGTAAACCTTGTCCCATTGGTCAATTTTAAAAAATGGCACAGCTGCAAAACAATGTCAGTTATGATCCGGCTCTAATTTTCCCTGTCAACAGCCTTGTTCAGCCTCCCAGATATTCCTACTCGGTGCCAAGTTCATTTGTAAGCGAAATCTGCCTTTTGAAAATCACCATATGAATATGTCAACAGGTCATGAAATATTTTCATTACAAATCTTAAAGAAAAACTTAGCTCTACAGAAACAGTTTGGAAAATGTCTATTTCATTAAGTACAAGTGTGAAACCTAGATGGAAAACATTTACTTTGGCAACTTTCTCTTCTGCTGGTGGCCCCAGCAGAAGATGGACTACCTTTGTGGGAGGTGAAACTGGTGGATTCCAGAGCAAATGGAAAATTTCTTACCAGGACCCCTTCGGATAGTGAGCGCTGGGGAAAGGCTGGGACAATTCAGCGTTAACCCTGGCTGGTGTAAGCTCCATGCAAACCCTCTTGCGCCATTAGTGATTTCTCAGTTATCAACCTCAAGCAAAACGAGGCTGTGAATGGATGAAAGGCAAAAGATGGTTCCCTAGGTTAGTGAGGTTTGATATGGGTCAAATGCACCCATGTGCATTCACGTTTCGCCTCTAGCGTTCTAGTGCAGTTTTCTTCCCCAGGAAGACTCGCCGCTTTGCTCTACCTGACAAGGTCCCTACAAACACTGCTTCCCCAGCGAGGTCTCCTTCACCTCCTGAGAGAACTTGCATCCTGTCTCACAGACCCGGGCACCGCCGTGTCCTGTCAAACTGTCTGTTCACTCACCGGCCTTCGCGAACTGTCCCGAGACATCCCGGGTAAAATGCCTCATTCATCCGGTTCCCAGCGCCACAAGCCTCAGTGCAAAATGTAAATGCAAATACAACTTCAAAACGACTGGGGAAGAAGCGTCACCGAAGTATCAGCAGAGGTACAAAACATCAATTTGGGATTAAAAATGACTCAGCCCATTCCCAAAGAATCCACTCAGGAGAGTTCACAGGATTCTGTAAATAAAAAGCTGTCTAGACCTTTGTGAGTGTTTATGTCCTCTCTAGCATCTATGACTCCGCTCAGACCACCCAGGCAGATTGATTATTTCTCATTTTAGGCACAAGTGCTGCTATTAGACAGATGGACTGTTCTTTAAGAACTATTGTTTAATTATTTTCAGTATATCTGTTTTCCTCACTAGTACTAAGCCGATGCAGCCTCCAGGGCTTTGCAACTGGCTGTGCAAACCTATTCACTAAGTCAATTACCTCTAGTATTTTGATATAATAATGCAAAGCTGACAGACACAGGATGTGAACAAAAGAGTTTTTAACAAGCATTTAAGCTGAACATGATGGTGTTAATAAATATTAAAACACCATAAGAATTTCTTAACTCTATTCTACCACCTTCAACTTCTATAGGTTGTTTTAATTTTTTACTTTATAATGATGAGAGTATCTAACATGACTTCTATCCTTCTAAAAGATTTTTAAGTGTGCTATGTAGCATTATTAACTAGAGGCAAAATATGTAGCAGAAGTCTAGAATTTATGAAGTTACAAAAGTGAGATATTTAGTCATTAACAACTCCACATTATTCCCTTGAGCCCCTTACAACCACCATTCTACACACTGCTACTGAATATTTCATACTTCAGATAAGTGAAATGATGCGATATTGGTCTTTCTGTGATTGGCGTATTTCACAGCACTCGCCCATATTGCTGTACACTGCAGGACTTCCTTCTTTTTCCAGAGTGAATAATATTTTATTGTTGGCATACATCGCATTTCATCCATTCATCTACCAGTGGAAAAGCTTTCAATTAGCAATAATCGTGCCTCGGATAAACCTTATTGGCTACGATACTGTCACTGTGCAAAGCTATCAGTGGATATTTAGGCTATTTCTAACCCTTAGATATGGTGAGTAGTGCCATAATAAGTGTAGGAACGCTAATGTCTTTGATAACCATATTTAATCTATTAGGTAAATAGCTGGAAGTTGGAATGCTGACTTACAGGGTTGTTCTGTTTAACATTGTTCAGAATTCCCATTTTGTTTTTCACAGTGGCTATACCATTTTGTACTTTCACCAGCAATGTAAATGGTTCCAATTTCTCTGCATCTTTGCCAACACTGGTTATATTTTATTTTGATAATACTCACCCTAATATATGTGAGGCGGCTTCATTATTGTTTGATTTGCCTTTCCCTGATGATTAGTGATACTGAGCATTTTTACAGATACCTGCTGGTCCTTGGTATGACTTCCTAAAATGTCTGTTCCAGTCTTTAGCCCATCTTAGTTCTTTAACTCACTCTTCTTGGCCCATCTTTAAGCTGCTCTTAAATTAGGAGTTGAACACCTTATCAGATACTGACTTTACAAGTATTTCCTCCTGTTTCTTAGGCTGCATTTTTCTCTTATTTGTTCCTTTTGCTGTGCAGAAGTCTTTAATTTGGTATAGTCTAACAATTTATTTTTGCTTTTATTACATGTACTTTGGTGTCATATCCATGAAATCATCACCACAACTAATGTCATGAAGATTTCCCCTTATGTTTTCTTCTAGTTTTACATAAGTCTCAGGGCTTATGCCTAAGTTTTTAATCCATTTAGAGTTTGTGCTTATGTCTAGTATAAGACAGAGTTACAATTTCAACCTTTTGCATGTGGATATGCCTTTTTTCTAGCACTACTGTTGAAGAGATCAGACTCCTTGTCAAAGATCAAACGACCATATACGTGGGGACATATATCTGGGCTCTTTTCCTATTCCACTGGTCTATATGTTTGTTTTTATGCCTGTACATAGGGTTTCAATGATTGTATCATCATCATTATTTTGTTACAGTAATACCAGAAATATATTTTGAAACAGGGACGAGTGATGCCTTCAGAGTCACACTTGTTTCATCTGAGTAAAAGACTCCAAAGATGCAAATATTTATGGACTGCTGTACAATAGAAGGAAGCCCTCTGAGGTGACCAGCTGCTTTCTGTCCCATCCAGAAGCACAAATAACCAGTTAACACCGTGTGTGAATTCGGCAACTTCTCAAGGCAAAAGGCCCAAAACTTCAGTAGTTACAATCCTGATGCACATTTCTTGCCCAGTTTTATTTAAAAGTGAAATTTATCGTATTATGTCTTCTTACAGGAAAATTAGAAAATGTCCAGAAAATTGCTAAAATGTCCATCAGCTCATCTGTCCCCAAACAACCTGTACTGCATTGCTATACAACTTTCTACATCCTAACTCAAACACATTTTCCAGTAGAAAACTTTATCTGCTATTATAAAATACAAGTGCAAAACTATATAGCCACAAAGCTCTAGATCTACTAAGAAGAAAGGATGTCTCACGAAGATACTTTGGTTTTAATTTATGAGAATTCAGGCTGACTTCTAGATTATTCTGCTTTCAATGACCCAGAAGAATCCTCTTTAAAAATCATTGAAGCCCATAAATATTTCCGATCAATTTAAAAATTATCCATCTACAAAATTTAATTGCCTTAAAAATGGAAAATCTGATTTTCCTCTATACATGTATTCATTCCTAAATAAATTCCATTAAAAATTTCCAGAAGATGGTGCTTTGAGAGGAAATTAAGCATAAAATATTTTGGGCTGAAGGCATTTTCAAAACAATGTTCAGGGAGGCTGTGAAGACAAGATCATGACTGAAATTAACAAGAAAAACAAAAGCAAAAAGTATTAATCCAAAAAAGTGACTTTCTAACCCAAATCAAATGAAACAAGAATTAAATATCTAATAACAAAACTAACCTGCCTCATGAGAATTTTGATTAAGAGATGGCTTTACAAAGACTGATTTGAGTAAAGAGTTATAGAGCAGGCCATTGATTTAGTTTTCTTAAAATTGCAAGCAACCAGCCATTATAGTCATAAAAATCTTGAGTCTTGGGCTGGAGTTTGGCTCAGTGGTTCCACCACCTGCCTTGCAAGTGCAAGGACCTGAGTTCAATCCCCGGTACCCAAAAAAACAAAACAAAACAAAAAAAACCTCGAGTTTTAAATAAGGAAAACATAAAAAGACTGGAAAATATTCCTGTGTTCAACACACTTGAAATCAGATTTAAAAAGATAAAATCGATACATATGAAAAACTAGAACAGAACTTGCTCATCCCTTAAGGGTCAGTGCCAAACTTTTTACAGAAGGTGTCACAAGCAGCAGTTTAATCAACAGTAACAATCTTGCTATATAAAATCATTGAAGTGTATTTAAATCATTTATCCAAAGCAACCCAGTGACCAATGACTTAAAGATGTGTTTTAATATGCTATTGTATCAGAACGTACAGTATAATTTTTTACTTTACTGCTCAATAATGATTTATTTTTACAGCTATACATAAGAAGGAAGAAAAATTTAGTTATCGAAGTCTTGAAATTCAAGAGGCAGAGAGAGGGAGGTTCTAATCTAACTGTTGAGATCTAGGTTTATGGACAGGTCTTCAACCGATTTCAGCTGCTTATTTTGCTTCTGTATTCAAATAAACTTCTTTCTGCCAACCACAGAAACAGAAGTGAAGTCACTGGTCATTCTGTTTTATGTATGAAAATTCTCTATTAATGTTTATGAATATTCTCCAAACTTCAAATGCAGCTGGTAGGACTGCGGCACGCGTGGCCCCGGTGCGGCTGTCCCTGTCCTTTGGCTTCATCTCATGCCTGCGTCTGTCTGTGACCGGCCTCTGTCCACTCAGGGCTCCCTGGGGACCAAGAAGCACTGCGAAGTAAATCTGCCCCAAAGCCCATTTCTGTTTCTGTCACACCTCCCTCCCTCTCTGTACAGGGCCACCCTTACCCACCCGAGGACCAGCCCTGGGCCTCCCTCCCTCCTGCTCTCTCACACTCCACTGCAGTCTGACCGCTGACGACTTCTCACCACCCCCACCCACCACTACTGCCTTGGTCTGAGCCACTCATCTCTGGTCTCTGGGCGACACACTCACACGCTGCTCCGGGTGCCATCCTCTGCCCACTGCGGACGGGTCTTCCAGCCCCAGCCAGAGGGAGCTTCCTCGGGCCAATCAGGCTGGGACGTGCATAGAAGGCCGCTCTGGCCGTGTGCATGCGAAGTCACCCCCTCATCACCGTGCTCATCCTTGCCAGGCAGCCAGGCCCCGGTGCCTGAACACTCTGTCCTGACACTGACAGGGTTTTCCTAAATGTCCTTTCATCGCTAGTGTTCTAAATATCTGCGCCAGGAAAAACTGAAGCCGACTTCCTCTGTCTTCTTCCTGTCCTTCTGCAAGCTTTGTTTTTTAATCCCGGGAGCTTAGCTGCACGATGCAATATATATTTTTCCTGTGTGTACAGTATTTCTTCTTATCCCGCCATGGAGTAAGCCACAAGATGGTGAGAACTTCTGTCGGTTTTGTCCTTCTGATTTCCGGCACCTAAAGTGGTGTCTCGCATCTGGACAGGAGAGAAAGGTGAGGGTGTGGAGCGGAGCCTGAGCTGTATGCTCCCACTGGTTGGTTTTCTTCACCGCATCGGAGGTGATTGTGCACCAAACACTAAAGAGAACCAAGAGGAACTGCCTCGATCTGACGTTGCTCACAAGCGGAACAACCTTCCTTCACTCATTTAGGAAGCAGTGGTACTGGATCCGAGTCTTGGGTTTTAGTTGAGCAAGGATTTGGAGCTCACTGTGTGAAGTGGTTTGGGAAACGGTGGGGCCTGGGAGGAGGGGAGTCCCCTCCTTAGAAGTCAGAAGAAATTATTTTTCCATAGTGAGTATTTCAGTCAGCTTCTCAATTTTTACTGCATCTTCACTGACTACCATCCAGAATGCTTCGAACACAGACAATATAAATGGAAATTGTGGCAAAGAGTTTTCTAAGCCCTTCAAAAAGGAATAAATGACCCAATTTGTAGGGGTGGGGCGAGAATGTTGTGGTGCTGAGGGCAGTGGAAGCTTTTATTAATGACAGGAGTAACATTCACAAGTTGTGTAGCATGTTCAGAAACACTGTGTGAGCCGAATGTGGTGAGGACAACAGTATTCACGCAGTTCCGAAAGCAGGCACCGAACAGCAACGGTGCCTCACAAAGAGGTCTGGCTGCACCAGCTTCCACAGTGGAATTCCAGATGATGGCAAGTCTGTCTTTCACATAACTCCTAAGCGCTCTGAGATTTGCAGAGCTTTACACAAGCAAAAGTTTAAGCCTGAAATTACCAACAGCACTTGAGCCACACCAAAGGCTAAAAATCAACATTAAAACCAGACAGAGATTGTTCATGGGTGATGTATGCCACGTCAATCTCGTGGGCATTTTTATACAGCAAAGCCTAATCTCCCTGGTACTGAAAGTGTAACTTCTTATTCGATGACTCCAATTTGAGATGACTGTCTCAAGATATCACCTCACTGCCGCAGAGCTCTGTGAAGCCAGAAGGCATACAAGACAGACTTACTTTTAAAGAGCCTAAACTTGTATTTACAAATGTCTTTCCAATGATCACAAGCTTCTAAGCCTGTCCGTTTCAAGGTCCTTAGGACCTCAAATATTGCCTTGAATGTAGTGAACCTTAATACAGTTTCATTTTGATCCCCAATCCTCAAAATAAAAAGCCTTTTGTCAATATATTCCACACATTGCTGTATAATGCTATTGCAATAAAGCTGTATTTTAATTTCTCTATGTATTCGATCCTTGTCCAATATTTACATAGTAATTGGCTGTATCAAAACTCAACTTCCTGGTAATATCAGTTATATTACTTTCAGTTACAAACAGTCACATTGGTTTTTATTTCTAAATATTGATTTTTTTCCTTCTCCTAATTTCCTCATGTTGTTAGTTATTTAAGGCTTTATGTACTAGAAGACATATTATTTCTTGGT